TGTGAATTTTGTAAATCTAACCGTTAGATTGAAAGTTCATATCTCTCAGATCATATATACAAAATTTTATATTAATCCAAGATGATTTGATACTTCATTTTTTATAAAACAAAATTGGCGTATTTTAAAATACACTAAAATATGAACACTTTGATTACCTTCAAGTTGTTGTTCAATTTTAACAAAATTTGATATACACGTATAAAGTGATATGAAATTTCAATCTAACGGTTGGATTTACAAAATTCACAATGAATATAAAGTTATTGAGCGGTGTAATACTTAGTAAAAGTTACACCGGTGTAATTATAACCCCCTCATATATATATATATATATATATATATATTAGAGAAAGTTTTTGCCAAGCAACTCAGTGTTTAGCATATTCCAACTCAAGATCAATGGGTTAATGCTCTAACCAAAACCATTGTCATCTACTAGATTTTTACTTTTGAGAAATAAACTCAAAGTTGTTGAGCTTTTTTCTACTGCTCACCCAACTTAGCTTTGTAGGGGGGGTATGTGAGTGAATTGTAAAGAGAGTAGTTAAAAATTGACTCCTGAGTTGATTAGTCTATTATGGGTTTCATGATTAGTTTGTTAGAACATCATGAAAATAATTTGTTCTATAAATAAATGGCTTGTTCAACTATCACATGATAAGAAAAATTGTTGCATATTTTCACAATTCTTGGGCTTTTTTTCCTTCTATTTCTCTCTCTCTCTCTCTCACTCACTCAATAATATGTTGAAGGAGATTTGTCACTTTGAATTAGGAAATTCAAAGATAACGATCAATAGTAGTTCTTAAGAACCTAAAGAGAGTTTTCTCTCATAAAGCATCGAAGCTTCATTCCAAATGAGTAAATATATCATTACAAAGTCAACATTTGACCTATTTAAAAAATGGACCTAAAACCTGCTATGGTCTAGCATGAAGGGGCCCACTAAATAAGCTACAATAAAATACCTCCAAACAAGCTCAAAAAGGATCTAACGGACATATTGATTTGAAGGTTTACGCTCAATACAAATGACAATGCTAACAAAAGGAAAAATATAAAATATGGCTAATATATTTAATTCTCAAATTCTTCCAAGTGCATATTCTTTTGTAGGTCTTCATTAGTTGATCTGTGTAGATGTGAAAATGATGGTATATAGAATATTGGTGCCACTTTTTTTTATTGCTTCCATGATAGCAAATAGTTTTATGGTTTAAATGGAGGCGACTTGAATTCAAGGGCATAATTAATTTGCGCTTGAAGAAGGCTAAAGGATGTTTGTCTTGTGATAAGACAACTCCTATATCCACAACATAAGCATTTGTTTCAACTTTGGTAAATTTTGGGAGAGCTAGCATCGAAGCAATAGTTATAACTTTTTTAGTTTTGTAGATACTTTGATAGCATGCTCAAACTATGAAATATTTTTTATTTGAGCATGTTAGTGAAAAGAGCAACAATAGAGACTAAGGTTGTTGCTATTCAACAATGGCTTGAACTTTTTCTAGGATAGGGCCAACACCTACACTTGAAATCTTGTGGCCCAAATAGGCTACACTAGAAACTCCAAAAAAAATTAGATTGCTTTGAGAAAAATTCATTAGTACTTAAAAGTTGTAAAATGATATTCAAATGAGTGATCAACTAAGCAGGTAGTATAAAGTAAAATGTCATAAAAAAAACAAATGATTTTTTTCGCAAAAAAGGACATAATAGATCATTTATAACATATTGAAATCTAGATGGAGCATTAGGGAAGCCAAAAGGCATTACCAAAATTTCATAGTGTCCATCATAAGTCCAGAAAGTTATTTTTGGTGTATCTGTAGGGTAGATTTTTATATAGTGATATCCATAACGTAAGTTTATTTTGGAAAATATAGTAGCATCTCTGAGTTCATCTAACAATTCATCTATTGTTGGAATAGGAAATCAATCTATGATGGTAATAACATTAAGTGCACGGTAATTGATACAAAAATGTCATGTCTATAATTTTTTTTCTTACCAAAAAGTATTGGCAAAGAGTAAGAGTCAAGGTAGTGCTAGGGGTGAAGATTCCCTTTATAAGCATTTCTTGAATTAGTTGAGACATAATTTCCCTTTAAAAGTGATGGTTGATGTGAGAAAATCGTAAGTGTACGGTTGTCGTCAAGTAATAAAATATCAAATCCATAAGGACTACGTGTTTGACCTAATAATTATAATTATTTATTTGAATTTAAAAATAGAGAAAAGAATTTGAAGAGAAATTGATTTGATTGAAGAACTAAGTAAATTGTAAAGAAAACGTTGATAAAAGTGAAACTTTGAATATAGAAAAGAATCCTGGAATTAGGATTCACACAATTAGTTCCTATGATTAATTTAAAATTTAGAAATTTAATATGTTTCTTTCGAAGGTAAATTAACCTAATTTATCTTACACACATTCTCAAGCTACGCAGGCATATCTAATTGAAGTTAATTCCTACTTTTGTGGTAACGACGTTCAATTAAACTCATTAAGAATTATGTTAATTTAGAGTTCCTCGAAGGACTAAATCTACTTTCGTGATTGAAACCCTAAGTGTACCTCTTTAGGTTCTAATAATTAAGTTCTGCTTTTAGTTCATCCTTAATTATCTAAGATTATGAAAGCAACGGTTACTTGACATTCATAGATACAATGTAAAGAAGAAGATCAAAGCAGAAACAGGTATAAGAAAACTGAATAATACATTAACCAAAAGGTTCTCAAGGGGCTAAGCCATGATTCCAAAAATAGGGAACTACTCACACATGATCATGGTAGTTTTCCCCAGAAAAGAAATAAAAAGAAAAGAAAAGATAATAAGACCTTAGAGGTATAAAGCACAAGCGCAATCCTTCTCCTTAATCTTTAAAACAAAGTTGAAGCAAAAGATATAGGTTTAGACCCTAACATGCTAATTTATAAGCTAACCAAGGTAACATAGGAAAAGGAAATTACATAAATAAATAAAAAGGGAAACAAGGAACAAAAATTAGGATTTTCAATTTTTCAAGAGAGTCACGGGCATGACTGGTGAGTCATGACCGTGATCTCCTTGACTTTCAATGTATTGTCGAGACAGAGCGAGTCACAAGTGTGACCAGTGAGTCACAACCATGATTGATCCTGTTTGAGAATCTTCACTTTTTGCACGTGAATCATAGGTGTGACTCACCAGTCACGATTGTGATCTTCCTTGCTTGCAGTCTTCATGAATTCCTTCACTCTTTATGATCCCTTGCCGGGCCTAAACCCTCTAGAAATAATTAAAACATACCAAAAGTGCATCAAAGTATAAAAGGAAGAATAACAAGCTATCCTAACCATATTTAAAATACTAAAATGCATGAAAATGCTTGCTTTCTAGGGTAAAATGTAGATTAAATTGTCAATGATCAAACAACCCCAAACTTAAACCTTTGTTTGTCCTCAAGCAATAATCATATTCAAGAGAGTTAAGTTTCAAAGAAGCAATCCATCATGTAAAGTACTCTATTTTAGTGTCACACAAGACCCAATTAGAGACTTATTTATCATATTTTTGCTTGTTCTTTACCTTTCATCAAATCAAGTTCAAGGGAAAATTTCAAATAATTTGAGTCATCAAGCTCAAAATTAGCAATCCTATACCTTCATGCTTATACAACAAAGGGGAGCAGAGATTAGTTTTTAGTTTTTGCTTACTTAATTTATTTCTCTCAAACATTTCCCCAATAGCCAATCAGTAGAAGAATTTACAACCTCAAAGGGGTGCCTAGCCATTTACTAGACATTTTCCCAATAGTTGGTTAGATTTTTTTTTTTTCAAGGTTTTGAATTTTTCCTCAAGCCTATGATCTCAAAGGGGTGCTTGATGAGATATTTATTTAACTTTTTCCTCTTATTTATTTATTTATTTATTTATTTTAATTGATTAATTCATTTATTTTGAGTTTATTCTACCCCCACTTAGTTTCTTAATTAATAAAAGACAAAAGGCTTATTTATCCTCACCTGATTATCAATTATTTTCTTTTTCCCCCAATCAAAATTATCAAATTGTAGAAAGATAAGCAATATCGATGATTCTAGCTAATTTTTTTAGTCTTTTTATTGAGGCACCAAAAATTGAGATATCTACCCTCTAGATGACTTACTTATGAAACCTTTACCTCCAAAATTCAAAATTTTCTTTTTGTTTTTAAGGTTCAAACAGGAATTGATTAGAAAACTTACAATTTTGTTTTTATTATTATTTATTTTTATGCATGAATGAAGTATAATATATGCATGGGAACAAATTAAATTGCATTGAAAAATTAAAAATGAATGCATCCAAACAATGAGTGGATCAAAATTTAAAAATGCATGAGTGCATGACAAAAATAGGTGCATGACAGACCACCCCTAACAACCCCAAACTTGAATAATTGCTTGTCCCTAAGCAATAAAAGTAGGGTATAGAAAATAACTTACTGAAGTGAGAAGTCATCAGGATATCGTCGGAGGTGCCAATTATACATTTGATCTACCATATGATGGTAATGTTATTGGCGTTCATCCATTTGCTAAAGACGATTATCCATGGCTTGTATAGCTACAAGGATTTGTATATTGTCAATGTCTTACTGCTCTTGCTGCTTTGGCTCCTCTGGCTCATCCAAAGGTTCCTCTTCAGCTCCTGGTTTTGCAGTGTCCCCTTCTATCCCTAAAAATTCTATAGTGGGTTCTAGAGGGAAACGCCAGGTATCCTCATTCTTGATGGAGCATTGTGGGTTGGGGAGTGGATGATGAGCTCCTGATTGAGAGATAATGAAATAATATTGATTGTTTTCATCTCTTCTCTAGTGATGCAGTTCATAACAAAACAAGTAGCAAAGCTAATACTTCGGCTGCCTTCAATGGCCTGTAGTTGCTCCACAAAAGTTATGTATTCCAAATATTTTGCAATGGTAGTTATAAGGCCCCTAATAACTATTAATTCGGAGTCAATAGTGATGATGCTTTGAAATTGTCGGGCCAAGTGTGATCCATAATTAATTTTATCTACCCTATTCTTGACCATAGCCTAGATGAACAACAAGTCACTCAGTCTAACTTTGCCTTCAGAGTCTCCTCTTGCCAAAAATAAAGGAGGCAATAACGATACACGATATAGATAGCGGGGTGGCGAAAAGCTGAAGAGTTGCATTTGCCTGCTACCCATCTTGGACCACCTGTTAAAGCACGCTAACAGCTATGAGGAGTAAAGGATCTCGGGGTTCTTATGTCTCCTTCAATTGGAAATCCAAGAATTTCATTGAATTTAGCAAGAGTAAGGCTATGTTCATTATTAAACAGGCGGAAGGAAATTAATCTAGGTCCGTAGTTTGGTCCACTCATGATTTTTGTGTGAAGGGAACTTAAGAATTCGAGAACTATGCGAGGGTAAACCTTTTCAATCATTGTAGATGCAAATTGTGCCCACCCAATATTAGTAAGCATGAAATTAATATCACTTATTAACCCCAACTCACGATTAAATTGAAGATCGAGATACCTGGCCGGAGTGATGGTGTGGGTATGAAGAGTTCCATACCTTGCTCTTTGGTCTACATCACGGAATCGCAGATCAGGGGCAATGGGCACTTCCTCATGTTTTTCCTTAGGTCGAGGGTTGCTGGAAGAGGACTCGTGAGCAGTGCGAATGCGCTTGGGAGCCATGAGTGATGAAGGAGAAAGGGAGTAGAAGGGTTTGGGAAGAAGGAGAAAAGTAGAGAGGAATTTTGGAAGACAAAAAAGATGGAGAAGAAGAAGAAAAAGAAGGATGTTGGGTAGAAAGAGAGCTGAAAGGAGAAACTTTTGAATTTCACGGGGTGTGAGAGAATGAGGAGGGAGACTAGGATTTATAGAAATCCCAAAATTGAAATTTTTACTTAAATAATATTTTTTTTTTTTTAAATTACAAAAGTATCAACTGTGCAGGTTTATTTATCAATATAGAACTGTTTACTGTTCATGCTCAGAATTCGGTTCCCGGGGAACCGAATTCTGAGTTATTTTAATTTTTTTTTTCGTGTTTCTGACCCATTTTGGGCAAATGTTGGAAGTGGAACGGCCCGTTCCGGAAGCAGAACGGGTCGTTCTGCTTAAAGACACAGAGTCCTTTTTTTTTTATATAAAAAATTTTAACATTTTTTTGAATCTGAAACGGCCCTGGAACGGCCCGTTCCGGAGGACGTTTTCAGGAAGTAGAACGTGATTTGGAACGGGACGTTCTAGGCAAACAGTAAAAATGCTACAATTAAATCCTATAATTACTCTTATTTCTTCCTTTTCAAAACTTTTAGTGTTTTAGTCTTTAATTTTTATTCCAAAGTAATTAATGTTTTATAAATTTCAAATCTCAATAATTTCAAGTCGCAAAATATAGTATAAATATTAATTGAGATTATTTTAAACTATGCTTGACAGACGAGAAATTTTCGTATCAGAGAGAACACTTGGACGGTGAAGTGTGATAATTTGACCCTTAATTTTTTAAATTTAATTTATAACAAAATATATTATTTTAATAAAATTGATTGAATAGTTAAAAATTTATCCGATAATTATATTGTTGGAGAGAATATATTCCCTATAGTTCAGGGATAATTGTACGTTTTAAGCGCAAGATATTATCTTAAGTGATTGTTTAAATATATTATTTTAATAAAATTGATTGAATAGTTAAAATTTTATCCGATAATTATATTGTCGGAGAGAATATATTCCCTATAGTTCAGGGATAATTGTACGTTTTAAACGCAAGATATTATCTTAAGTGATTGTCTAAATATATTATTTTAATAAAATTGATTGAATAGTTAAAATTTTATCCGATAATTATATTGTCGGAGAGAATATATTCCCTATAGTTCAGGGATAATTGTACGTTTTAAACGCAAGATATTATCTTAAGTGATTGTCTAAATATATTATTTATAACTGATATTAAATGTTTCTTAATACTAAATATTATTTCATGAATCCTGATTAATTGATATTATTATAATTTTTATGTTAACAATACACTAAAAATTAAAATTTACTATCAGAATTCAAAACTATAACTTCATCCCAAATTTAATTCTTTAAGGTTAATTCACTTGGATCAAGAAATATCAAATGAATGTGAGTGAGGACTAAAAATTTATTGCTTAATATCCCATTATTTTAACTTTATTATCTTTTTTTTTAAAAATAAAAATAAAAAATTTAATCTTTTTTTTTACTGTTTGCCCAGAACGGGCCGTTCCAAAACCAGAACAGCCGTTCCAAATCACGTTCTACTTCCTGAAAATGTCTTCCAAAACGGGCCGTTCCAGGGCCGTTTCAGATTCAAAAAAATGTTAAAATTTTTACTCTGGAACGGGACGTTCTGGGCCCGTTTTAATTTTAAAAAAAAGGACTCTGTGTCTTTAAGCAGAACGACCCGTTCTGCTTCCGGAACGGGCCGTTCCACTTCCAACATTTGCCCAAAATGGGCCAGAAACACGAAAAAAAATTTTAAAAATAACTCAGAATTCGGTTCCCCGGGAACCGAATTCTGAGTTGAAAAAACAAAAAAAATAAGATTTTGAATCTCAGAATTCGGTTCCCCGGGAACCGAATTCTGAGCATGAACAGTAAACAGTTCTATATTGGTAAATAAACCTGCACAGTTGATACTTTTGTAATTTTTTTAAAAAAAGTATTATTTAAGTAAAAATTTCCCCAAAATTAGGGTTTCAGGCTCTATCGCGAGTCATGGGCGTGATTGGTGAGTCACGACCGTGACTAGCTCAGTGTTTTTGAAAATTTTTCACCACCTCTGTCATGGGCATGACTAGCCATTCACGGTCGTGATTGGAATCACGGGCATGATTGACTCACATCTTTTTTTTTTTAAGAAAACTGGATGTACCTTATTGTATGCATGGTTCTTTAAGGTTGATGGATTGAACTCTTGGGAGTTGTTCTTCATAGAAGTACAACCTTAATCTTTGTGCATTCACCTTAAAGATTTATCTATTATTATTTTCAACTTCCACAGTGCCGTAAGGATAAACCTCATGAACCTTGAAAGGTCCTGACCATATTGACCTTAATTTTCTAGGAAACAAACGGAGTCTTGAATTGAACAATAGTACCATGTCTCCTTCCTTAAACTCCCTTCGGTGTATATGTCCGTCATGCCAATTTTTGGTTCTTTCTTTGTAATTTTTTGGCATTTTCATATGAATTAAGTTGAAGTTCATCTAATTCATTCAGTTCCAATTTTCTTCTATCTTCAGCAACTTTCAGATCATAGTTGAGAAGTTTTATAGCCCATAATGCTTTATGTTCTAGTTCTACAAGCAGATGAAAAGATTTCTCATAGATGAGTCTATAAGGGGACATACCTATATGGGTCTTGTAAGCAGTACAGTAGGCCCATGGAAGTTTTCCCCAGAAAAGAAATAAAAAGAAAAGAAAAGATAATCAGACTCGGAGGTAGAAAGCACAGGTGCAATCCTTCTCCTTAATCTCTATACAAAGCTGAAGCAAAAGATACATGCTTAGACCCTAACATGCTAATTTATAAGCTAACCAGGGCAACACGGGAAAAGAAAATTACATAAAAAAAGGGGAACAAGGAACAAAAATTAGGGTTTTCAGCTTTTTGGGAGAGTCATGGGGTGACTGGTGAGTCATGGCCGTGATCTCCTTAGCCTTCAACGTATTGCTGAGACAGAGCGAATCATGGGTGTGACTAGTGAGTCATGGCCGTGATTGACCTTATTTGAGAATCTTCACTTTTTGCACGTGAATCACGGGCATGACTCACCAGTCACGACTGTGATCTTCCTTGCTTGTAGCCTTCATGAATTCCTTCACTCTTTACGATCCCTTGTTGGGCCTAAACCCTCTAGAAACAATTAAAACATACCAAAAGTGCATCAAAGTAGAAAAGGAAGAATAACAAGCTATCCTAACTATATTCAAATACTAAAATGCATGAAAATGCTTACTTTCTAGGGCTAAAATGTAGATTAAATTACAAGTGATCAATGTTCATGGAATGCAGGAGGGGGAAGGCCACATGATGTGGTAAAAATGTGTTTGAAGGATGAAATGATAGGTTCTAAAGATGGATGAGTGGTTGTAAGGAGGTTGTCAAATTCTGAAGGTGAGTTGGACTCAAGAGTGTCAAAAGCTAAGAGGTGAAATGAAGTTATGGAATCAATGTGGATATAGTGTCACATTTGCTAAAAAGAGGTAAAGGTAGGGTGGGTTGTTAAGGAATGACAAAATTTAATAATGGTTTTGTCTTCGATAAAAAGATAGTTGAGAAAATGACAAAATTTGCTTGTAGAGGACCAATGAAGGCCAACCATTCAATACCTAAAACAACATCAACTCCTTGAATATGTAGTAAGTAGCAAGGATTTATAAAGGTCATATATGTTGAAATGAAATAGGAACTGTTGAGATAAGACTTGAGCATGTGATGTTTTGACAATTACCTACCATGATAGAAAAAAGATTAGTAGTTTTAGTAGGAAGATTCAAATATGGGAAATGTGTGGTTGTAAAATGTTTTGAGAATTCCTTGTATCCACCAAAATCATAATAGAGAGCAAATTAATTAGGCCATGATTCTTCAAGGATTATGAAGAATAAAATCCCATGAGGTCTTAACTTGACAGTTGAAGTTGGATAGTAATGTAACGACCCGGCAGGTCCTACACATACCACTGTACACCGGAAACACCAGGCAGAAAGAACAAGTATATAAATATAGGATCTAGAATATAAATATATACAAAGTCCCAATCCGACTAGAGTTAGAGTGTGCCAAAAACAACCAAACCAAAACAAAATACAACATTAACCGCTACACCAAGTAGCTGAAACAACATAACAACAACTAAGGTCATCTCCGCCTGCCCGCTGCAGACTCACCACAAGCCACACACCTATCCCTGCTCTGCTCCCGCACATAATACGATCATAGCAATCCAACCACATGGAAACAACAAATGGTAAGCTAGTATAAAAAGATCAACGTCTAGCAAGATTTAAAAAAAAACAGAAACAACTTCAACTATCAACACAACATCAGTCTACATCTCATCGGTTATACAACAAATCAGCCATTAGCAAAAATAATGCGTCGTCACGCATATCACCTCGGAGATCTCCTACAACAACTCAGCCTTTATGGCCTACAACAACTCAACCTTTATGGCCTACAACAACTCAGCCCTTATGGCCTACAACAACTCAACCATTATGGCCTACAACAACTCAGCCCTTATGGCCTACAACAACTCAGCCCTTATGGCTTACAGCAACTCATATCAACATTCAACACAACACAACTTTTACAACTCAACATATCAACTTGCAACACAACACAACTTTTACAACTCAACATATCAACTTGCAACACAACACAACTTTACAACTCAACATATCAACTTGCAACACAACCCAACTTTACAACTCAACATCAATCAACCAACATCATCTACTAGTCATCACATTATATTCATCCATTTTAACTCAACTCAGCATAAAACAACATTAACCAACATATAGAAAAAATCTCATCTCTGCGCCCGGCGCACTCATGGTTGTGCCCAGCCCAGTGCAACTAGAGAGCACCAGGGGGCCGGCGTGCCCAGCGCAAGCATGCCCGCGCCCGGCAGGACTCAGAAATTAAATATTTTTAAAAATACATATTTTAATTTTAACATTATAGTAATTAATTGTATATTTTTTTATATATAATTTTAAATATTTTTAAAAATACATATTTTAATTTATCCTTTATAAACTTCATTTAATTTTTT